CTCCAGGAGAACTGATCTTTGCCGTCTGGAGGTTAGGTGTAATTCTGGGCAGGGGCAGATTAAGGCTCAGTGGTGCCCTCAGCACAGGCCAATCTTGGTGCCCCCCACCTCCTTTCCACACTGACCCAGTCCATTTTAGTGGTTGACCTATCTGACCAGATGTACAATGCAGGTTGCAGCAATACAAAAATGTATTCATAGGATAACACAATATACTGTACAAACTAATCTTTTCACCCTTTCCCCAACTTTGTGGTGCCCCCTTTGGCCCTGGTGCCCTAAGCACCTGCTTAGTCTGATTAATGGTTCATCTACCCCTGATTCTGGGAGATCTCCAGGCCCCACCTGGAGGGTGGCAGCTCTGCCTTTGGTCTGGAGATGAAGTTTATGGGGAAGAGAAAGGACAATAATTGGGCCTCCCTGTGATCCCCCCCCCCGTCTCTCTGTCCCCCCCCTAAAAGATCTGAGTTCAAATCCTTCCTCAGGCCAACACCTACCTACCCCCCCATCTGTGTTTGTGTCTGCGCGTGCACATGCCCATGCAGGGGATGGACATGGCTCAGTGGCAGAGCATGTGCTTGGCATGCAGAAGGTCTCAGGTTCAATTCCCAGCATCTCCAGTTGTTGTTTTTTTAAAGGTCAGGTAGCAGGTGACCCCTGCCTGAGAGCCTGGAAAGCCGCTGCCAGTCTGTGTAGACAGTACTGATTTTGATAGACCAAGAGTCTGATTCAGCAGAAGGTAGCTTCATATGTGTGTCCCCTAAAAGATCTGTGATCTGTGTAGTCTGATAGCTCAGGATGGGGATCTGTTTTTGTTAGATCGCGCTAACAAAGGACTCTTAGAGTGATTCAGCAAGTGATTCAGCTTTATTGGAAGTAACGAACAAGCACTCAACTCAGTAAGAAACCAGAACAGAAAACAGTGGGAGCTTATGCTCCTTTTAAACATAACCGGGCTAATGTAGCCACGCCTATTTACAAATAACAACCAATGAGATTGAAATCAGTTATACTTCGAGGAAATAGCCAGCCCCTACCTGGAGGTTGGCAACCATACTCTCCAGCATATTGTAATTTGTCGACTAGCCATTATCATTCCTTTGTCCCTTCATTTGGAGCAGAGATAACATTGCTCTTTCAAAGGACTGGTTTCTGATATTCTATGATTCAGACAAGGAGGCACATTTCATTTATAAATGACCAGGGGTCATTTCCTGTGGGAGCGCACAGGAGCAGAGCTCCGGCAGTAAGGAGCTCAGGGGGCGGGCACATGCAACAAGCCCCACCCCCTGCTTCCAGCAGCCCCAGGCCACGAGGAGCATGAGGATCTGCGCATCCCCCCCCCATAGCTAGCAATCCAAAACAGTCCAGTGGAGCCTGAGCAGTGGGTGTTGCCTTCTGACACACTTCCGGTGATGTCAGGGGGTGTGGCATATGCAAATGAGTTATGTGGCATATGCTAATGAGTTCCTCTAGCTCTTTTTCTACGAAACGACCCCTGTGACATCACCAGAAGTGTGTGATAAGGCCACACACCCCGCCCCCAACGGTCCCGGCCGCCGCCACCGGCCTTGCAGCTCCACTGCCGAGCCCCATGAGGGGCCTGGCGGTGGACCTGCAAGGCCGGCAGGAGTGCAAGGAAGCCCCGCAAAGGCCCTCCCTGGCCCCAGGCAGGCAGGGGTGGGGAGAGGCAGGGAGGAAGCAACTTACCCTCCCTCTTCTCCTGCCTCCTCCTGGCTGAATGAGGGCCGGAAGCGGGGCGGCCAGAAGCAGGGGGCGGGGCTTCGTCATGTGCCCCACCCCCCATACCTCACCCGGGAGAACTGCGATCCCCCACGATCCCCCCCGAAATGACCTCTGGAAGTGTAAAATGTGTCTGATCCACCTGGGAACTTAGACAGAATAGGGGGGAGGTGGATGGAGCACACGTCCTTGTAGAAAAGTGACAGCGTTCCGTGCGCTTTGGTGTTTAGTCATGCTGGCCACATGACCACAGAAACGTCTTCGGACAGCGCTGGCTCTTCGGCTTTGAAACGGAGATGAGCACCGCAACCCTAGAGTCGGATTCGACTGGCTTTCGAGCAAGGGAACAATTACTTTTTTAACACATGCTCCACTGATGTTGGAGTCCAGTGGCACCTTTAAGGAAGCAAACGTCCTCAGACAAGTTGGAACAAGATTTCTTCAAACCTTACATACAGGAAGATGGGGTGGAAGCGTCAGGACTGACCAGTCAGAGTCAAGATGCATAAGATGCTTGACTGTTTCAACTGTGCTGGATTGGCAGAGGCAAAAGTGCCGGGACAGAGTATGGAATGCAAAGGGATCTCCCTTCTAGAAGCGCTGAGGGCAAAAGATTAAGCCGAGCGAGAGAGAAAGCTCTGTGGTATTGGGAAACTCTATGGCGGGGGCCGGATCTGGCTCGTCCAGGGCTTTTATGCATCCTGCAAGCATCTGGTATAAGGGAGGGAACAGGAGACTGCTCAGGGGGGAGTGGGGGGAGCCACCCCGATTGTGGCTTCAGCATGGTGGAATTTTGTCTGCAGCAGTCAGTGTAGGAGCGTCTACCCAGGGCTGCACCACTGGCTGTCCAGTCTGCCCATGTGGGTTTCCTTTGCACCTCCTTCCTAATGCATGAGGGCCTGCAGTGAGGATAGACCAACTCGGAGCTTACCAGCTGCTGTCCTTTATGCAGTTTATATCTCCTGTACCTGCCATTATGTTTTATGGCAGACATGGTTCGGCCCAACAAAGTGACGTTTATGTCAGATCCAGCCCTCGTAACAAATGAGTTCGATACCTCTGCTCTATGGTGTAGAGGTAGTCCGCTGGCACAGTGTTTCCAGTTTAATTCCCCACCGCCAGATACCAGATACGCACCTCCAGTGATACTTGCCCTGATTCTATTCTAGGAACTGCTTTTGGTGCACTGTGAGGGACACCAAATAAACTCCTTAGGGATTTGGACAATATGGTTTCTATATACAAATTTGTGAGCCATACAGAAGTTTAGATAATACTTTGGCTTGAAAACCTTTAACGGCATAAGGAATATGTGAGCCCCCCCCCCCCTTTGTAAAGAAAAATCTAAGTGTAGCTGGTGCCACTCTTTGGGCAGTCTCAGTGGCCGGAGTCAGCTAGACTCTCCATGAGCCAGTGGACTGGAAGGGCAAGATCAACCACTTGTCCACACACCTGCATGCTACGTTGGGGCCCCCACCTCTTTGCTGTTTACCCTGTTGCCCTTGCAGGGTCTTTCTGTGGATGTAATGCTGTTTTTCCTCACATTGGATCTGCACTCTGTATCGTTTTTAAAATGCGACTCCTGTGCAGATTCCTGTAACTGTAATCCTGGTCTATTGCTCCTTCCATGTCTTGTTGTATGGGTTGGTATCAATTTATACTGTACAGTCTGGAGGAGGAGGAGGAGGAGATTGGATTCATACCCTGCCCTTCACTACCCAAGGGAGTCTCAGAGCGGCTTACAAACTCCTTTCCCTTCCCCTCCCCACCACAGACACCCTGGGAGGTAGGTGGGGCTGAGAGAGCTCTGGCAGGAACGGCTCTTTTTCAAGGACAGCTCTTATCAGAACTACGACTTGCCCAAGGTCATCCAGCCAGGTACAAGTGGAGGAGTGGGGAATCAAACCCGGTTCTCCCAGATTAGAGTCCGTGCACTTAACCACTACACCAAACTGCTTTGTCTCTGTGCGAAAGGCCAACTATAAATGTGGCAGATAAATAACTATACCAACGAGCTGCAGCATTTTGGAGGAGCTGCATCTACCAGACAGTTCCCAAGGGCAACCCCACAGGGTGTAGACGACAGTAGTCCAGCCTTCCGGTTGCCAAGTAACCTAGATCAGCCCAGGTCTGAGAATCAGATGGAGAGTCTGTGAGCTGGAGGAAACTGAAATGAAGGGCTCCTAGCAACACCACCCACCCGTTTCTCAGAGAATGAGGCCGGGAGCAAGACAAGGGCCAAAGTCCAAATGCAACCCAGCAGCCCAGTGAAAGTGGGTGGATCAGGGCCCTGGGGGCAGGCCATCAGCCTTCCCATCCTCTTGCCCGGGTTTAGCTTCTGCCTCTGCCCACTCAGCCAGCAGGCTTCCTAACCTCCCAGAATTAGGACTGATCTCCAGACTGCAGAGATCAGTCCTCCAGGCCAGGGTTGCCAGCTCTGAGCTGGGGGATTCCTGGAGATTTCGGGGGTGGATCTTGAAGAGGGGAGGTGTTTGGGGAGGGACCTCAGCAGAGTATAGCACCATAGAGCAATGTTCCCTCTAAGCTGTGGAGTCCTGTGAGCAAAAATCCTACTTTGTGAGCTACTAGCATTAAAGTTGTGAGCGAACCATTTGGCAACTGCATAATTCAGTTTGCTCTGCCCTCCTTCCTGAGCAAAGAGAAAAACATGTGAGCCGGAGGCTAAAAAACTGTGAGCTAGCTCACCCTAACTCAGCTTAGAGGGAACACTGCCATAGAGCCCACCTTCCGAAATGGCCATTTTCTCCCGGCGAACTAATCTCTCTCTCCCCTGGAGATCAATCGCAATCCCAGATCCCCAGCCACCACCTGGAGGCTGGCAACCGTGTTTTCTCCTGGTGTGCAAACTGGCTGCCTCGGAGTCGGGGGGCTTCAGGGCATCGTCTGGGGCGGAGGTGCCTCCCCTCCTCAGACCCCCTCCTCCTCCCCCCAATCTTCCGGAACTCCCTAACCCGGCGCCGGCAACCCTCGTGCCCCGCGCAGCCCCCGGCTCCGCCGCCCGGCTCGCTCCATCGGCG